ACGTGGGGCATCTTCTTTTTTCGTGCACACGTTTAAACGATTGTCCTCAAAGCTCATATATTTAACTAACTACATAATAATTGCTATGGATGCGTAGAAATATTTCTGATCGATTGATGATAAAATTATTGAAATTAGTCCAGGGGAAGCTGAGTTATTAACGTTTAAAATCTATCATAATTTCGTTACATGTTCCATTTTCGTTTTTCACAAAGTACATCCCCATATAGAAATCACAGACGTAGTCCTACGTCAGAAGACCCATTGCGAAGAAAAGTGGCTCAACTCATTAGTTAGTAAATTTGTTAACCCATTAATGCGTATCTGTTTCCCGTTAATAAGTAACAGTTACTCATTAATGGGTAACAGATACTCATTAATTCGTAAAAAAAACTCATTTAATGAGTTAAGACTCTTTTCTTCAAAATGGGTATTTTTACCCATTAATGGTTACTTTTAAGTTAACGTGTATACTCGTATATCTCTGAAACTTTTCAATACCCCGCACTTGGGCGATGTGCGGTATAAGAGGTGAGGAGAAAGGAAACTAGTGGACTCTTTCGTTCTCGCGTCTTCTTATGCAGCAACAGACGTGACGTCACGTCTGCTGTTGCATAAGAACACCGTCAGAATGAAAGAGTCCACTAGTTTCCTTTCTCCTCACCTCTTATACCGCACATCGGCACTTGGGCACAGGTGTGGAACTTCGGATCATAAAGTGGCTCCACTTGTCATTTGCGAACACTAGCGCACCTAGCGGTAGAAGGCATCTTCTGCCTGTAGTTACGATAGGCAGAATGCTATGATAGTGTGAGTGCACATAGAAAGCCCGTGTGGAATGCTACCACAACACATCGCTTGTTGAGCAGAAAAACGAAACACTTTTTGATTCACCGATTTGTTTGCACTACCCCTTCTGTTCTGTGACTTGGGGCAAGACGGCATTTGATCATGAGTAAAATCGGAGTTCATTTTGAGTAACTCTGAGTAACTCGCGTTGCTCAACATAAAATACACATAGCAACCGATACTGTCAAGCAAAGCAAAGCAACAACATTTTAAACGGTGCGCTTGCAATGCTTTACTGGGAAGATCTTTCAGCAATGAAAGGGCAATTGCACGTGTATGAAAGGAACTACAAGCTGCCCCCTCAAAATCGATGGAAGATTTTTATTATGACCTTACGGAACAGTCAGAGCTGTCTTGATTTACTGCCATGCCGATGACGTTCTATTACAGGAGGATTTTGTACAATCTCTATGAAGGTTCCAGTCAATCGCAAAGGGGATATATGGCAGTCTCAGTAGAGATTCCGAACAAGCCTAGGGGGAATTTCAGACAATCCCAGTTCGGTTTCCCAACAATATCAAAGGTAACTTCGGAAAAACCAAAAAAAGGAATATGAACTATCCCAGGGAGGATTCCGAACAATCACAGGAAGAATTTCACTTAATATTGAGGGGGATTCATGACTGTCCATGGGGGGATTCTAAATAATCCAGTCAATCCAAAGGTAGATTCTGGACAATCCCAGTATGAAAACATGGTATGTGGTGGTTCCTACATCCCTTCGACGATCGCTCATTGACAAACTTCATATAAGTTTCAGAATAGAATCAACTATGAAGTTGGCCAGAATTAACCTATTTTGACCTGAGATGAACAGTTAAATAAAATACCGCATTCAACAATGCTCCTTTTGTGCTAAATATCGATCAACACAACAACACCAGACGATGAAAATTCAACCTGTTCCTGTTCAACCTTCTTCAACTCTTGTCTATTGATGTCTTTTTGCAGGAGTATCAGGGAAAACAACGAACGCTTCTGGAGAGAGTTGACCCTAACTCTGACATTTTCCAGCTAAATATTCTCGGAGATTTAAATCCCTCTTCCTTAATGAATGCTGGTAAATAAAATGTTGCTTATCACGATAGACCGTAATTATTAATGATGAGTTTCCTCATTCCAGGCATGTAGTGCAACAGAATATGAAACCTCCTTGACCGATTTTGTGAGATTGAGTATTAATTTTCATGAGCTAAATTAATCTTCTGAAAACATTTGTCCAAATTCTTTCTTCCTAAGTCTTGAAATCACACCATCTAGTGTTTCCTGCCCGGGCAATTTACCAGAATTATCATTCCACGATTCCCAGTAAACTAGTTTGACTTCCCGAGAAGCAGTTTTTTTTTTGTACGAAAACCATGTTCAACATATTTTATTTTAAAAATGACCACACAGCTTTTGGGGAAAATTGATAGCAATTTCCGGAGAAAGTTTGACGAATCTTTAGTGCGAGGTCAGGAAAGCTTCCTGGCGAAGATTCTTCCAAACGAAACCGGCAGACGCTTCTGACACAATCTGTGAGAAATTCCCGGGTGAAGTTAGAAGAGACTTCCATGCAAATTTAGGCAGCCGGATGAAACTTTCAGAATAATTCAGAAAAGTTTTCCGTGGGAAGTCCGGATGAAATGGGAAATAGTTTCCACTTCTAGCGATAGGACTTCTGATTGTAATCTGATTGTACTGTTGGAACGAAAAGATGATGAAACTTCCGTTGAACAAATGACGAAATTTGCGGGAGAAGGTGGAAGATTCTTCCAGGGCAAGTTTTAAAAAACTTCCAGGAGATGTTGGAAGAAACTTTCGTGCAAAGTCAGACGAAACCTCCCAGAGAAATCATGAGAATCCTTCCGAAGAAGCTGGTCGAAATCTTCAACGGGGAAGTTGGAAGAAACTTCCAGAAATTGTCGGAAAAATCTTCCGGGCGAGATCCTGACGAAGTTCAAGTTTTAATAAATAACTATCGAAAATATTTCCCGATTCCCGGGAAGAATCTTCAGCTATTTTAAGATTCCCGGATAGTTAGAAATGGCTGGAATATGGAAACACTAACACCACCACATCATTAAGAACTTCAAAGACATTACACTTTAGTCAGCCATCACAAAACAGAAGGGGAACTGCAAACAAATCGGTGAATCAAAAATGGTTCGTTTTTCTGCTCAACATGCGATGTGTTGTGGTAGCGTTCCACACGGGCTTTCTACGTGCACTCACACTATCATAGCATGCTGCCTATCTGAACTGCAGACAGAAGATGCCTTCTACCGCTAGGTGCGCTAGTGTTCGCAAATGACAAGTGGAACCACTTTCTGATCCGAAGCAAAAGAAACCTAAACATCCCCTGGCCTGGATAAGAGCCATCTAACTTGGATCTTTTCAAGACCAATAATTGAAATGGCCTTAACTCCATTTTGTAAACAAACCTAGTAAGGCCATTTTCTCGCGAACCGAAACCTTCATTCGCAACCACAATCGGGTAGAGGAGAATTTCCCCTACCTGTTCATTAGGTTGGTTTGCCTTTGCGGACTTCGGTTTGCGAGAAAATGGTCTTACAAGGTTTGCTTACAAAATGGAGTTAAGGCCCAAGCGCAATATGGGCGGAAGCGGAACGGAAACGGAAAGTTTGACAGTTGTCACAAATGACATCAAGATGCCTAACCGAAGTCGATTTGATTCTAACTAGTTTTCAAATCCGACAAGTAGGCTTACTCAGATCGGGCTTTTCCGCTTCCGCTGTCATTGCGCTTGGGCCTTTAAGGCCATTTCAATTGTTGGTCTTGTTTTAAAGAATGAAAACTGAACAGACGGGGATTGTTTGAACATTATTTGATGAAAAATATTAGACTACTTTGTTTGTTTTTGAGTAAATATGAGTAACTCAAATTTACTCACTGCAAATATATTAACTCTGAGTACAGTTGTCGTACCCGTAGACCCCCCGCACATCGAATCCATTCCGTGATCCATTGTCCATTCTACGCGCACGAGTATTTTTTAGTCCTTCTTCATTCCTTTATTTAACGGCGGTCTCTGTTCCGCAATCTGGCAATCGAATGTGCAGGAAGGCAGCTTCCACACTTGCGTACGATATCGCACCCATTTAAACACACATGGGCCGGGACCAACGGCTATACCAACCTCTATGATAGTACCAGAGCTGAGCCAAAAAGTTGAGCACATTTCTTCGGGATCTTCTGGTCTTAGAGTTACCTCTATGGCTATACATATGCATCATAAAAATCGCACCGACCTTGGCTGGGATTGAACCCAGACCCATTGGGGTGATAAAGCAGTCACGCCATCACACCATCGGCGCCGGCTTGCACCCTGTCATCATCATCGACTTTGAAATATTCATCCTCGATTGTTTTGTGTTTTCTTTTTCATCAAAGAAGAGAGCGTGTCTCAGCTGTTCGCTCTGCCCTCTCTCTGCTCATCAAAACATATAGGGTGGATGAGCGTCACGGATACTGGTACCAACACTGGTACTACGTACTATAGTAGCTATAGCTTTATCATCGGTGCATTTTATGTTTTTCTTTTAATAGTAGGTACCTATCAATTTTTCATGCATTTGAGTATATTTGCTTAAAATTAAGTTCTTTAAAATATGCCTGGAATGCGAACATTTATAAAATGTAATAAATGAGATAAAAACCAAAATTCTTAAACAAAACATGAAATTGGTACCATTCCATTATCCCATTATCCCCTACATGGTATTTGCGATTATTTTTGTTTAAGAATATAAAGGAGAGAAGAGAGTTGGCTTTAGTCGCATTCAACCATGATGATCACGAAGCCTTTGTTATGTTCACGGCCAATGGTAATGACCCAAATTTGAGTTTAGTCTACTTATGAATTGCAAAAAGTGCATGACTCAGCGATGAGTAAATTTGCCTCATATTTTTCCAGGTTTGTCCAGGAAAAAAAATTCCGAATATGAGAAATGAAAAGATTGAATTCACTTAGTCTATTCAAAACTGAGTAAAATTTTCCTGTGTTCCTACACTTTTTGCGATTAGGAGTAAACTGAACTCAAATTAGGGTCGTTCTCATTGGCCGTGTGCACATTTTTGTTGTGTTCAATGTTGTGACGTTTAATGGCGATTCCGCGGTTCTGGCACTTTATCAACTCGGTTTTGCTCGCGGTCGCTGCTCGCTAGTATCAGTTTCCCATTCCAGCTGGAGCTGGACTAGAATTTGTTCGCATATTGGTGTGTACGACTTGGAACTTAGAATAGTGGAGCATAGAAGTCGTGAAAGTGCTATTCCGTTTTCCCTGAAAATAATACCCACTAATACAACATTAGCAGTGAAGCAACTATAGAAGAGCAGTGTTTTGTTTTTGAGGAGATTGAGAGAAAGAAAACGCTGAGGCCGCTCCCGTCTCGCAGCAGCAGATTATGGTCAGTCTGATCAGAAACTTCGGCTCGAACACGGTAGGTTTTCGGGGGTTTTCTCCGGAACTTGTTCCTGGAAATAGTGGGCTATTTTCGAATACCAAATAATAGAGCAAGACATTTTTTATGTTGTAAACTCGTTCTCAGGCTTAGTCGATCTTCGTCGTCGAGGCAAATTGCGACTGATGAGTCATTTTGAAATTTCGATTCTTCCATTTCAGTGTTCTTATTTTGTTGATTTTTCCTTTTCTGCGTTTGATTGTGTGCTTTTGTAGGGAGGTCGATTTTTCGAGGATTCAACAAGGATGGACGACAGTAACACGATGCTGGACCCGATTCTGGCCACCGAAGACGATGATGGCTTCCGGCCGCTGCGAACCGTGCCGGCGTTCAGGTAATTAGTTGAGCCAGACTGGGACTTTCTAGGGATTTCATGAGCGTTAGGTCATCGATTTGCGTTTCGCTGTGGTTTTAATTTTCCTTATCTTGGCCTAGGGAAAGGAAAAAACTGTAAGCCTCCGAGTCGACTTCATATCTCGTGCGGTTTGTTATTGATGTAACGTTAGGCATTTATTTATAATAAACTACTGATAAATACTGGTAGAATGATTATGTTAGGAATTGATGAGTCAGGCAGTTTGGATTTATTTTGCAAAACCACAGATGAACGTCGAGTGATTATGCATCGATGAAGCCCAGTCAGTTTATTCAGCTTAAATTAATAATGTTATCCGTTTGCCCTGCAGCTTTCACTTGGTGGTGTCGAGCTGCATTTCGCTGGCGGGAATCATCTTGGCCGCCACATGGGAGGACAGTCAACGCTGTGAAGCGTACTTCATTATGCTATACCTGAGAGCCGCCTTCTGGTTGATCACCTACGTAAGTGTGCTCGCTTGTAAATCTGTGATCGCAAATTGTACATTTCTCCCAAACCACCTTCCAGCTCTTTGACAACATTGTCAAGAACCATCACGAGAAGCTCCGTCTTGATGGGTACCACGACTTCCATCGGTCCACCGCTCAGCACAAGGCCGTCCCGCTGCAGATCGTATCGTTGTGGAATACGTTCCTGCTAGCGATCCAGACGCTGATTCAGCACTACTATGGCGATAGCTTTGCCGAGAAGTGCGTCGTGGTGGGCTTCCTGTCGCCGATTGTCTACATTACGATGTTCAGCTCGCTGGAGACGTTGGTGTTTTGCTTCGTCCATGGTTCTTATATTGGTAAGTGTTTTGGCGATTACCGTTGCCCTTAACTTGGGGTACTTGGTGCGCTTTTTCTAAGTCTATTCCATTTGGGAAAGTCAAGGTCGTTTCCAACGTGTAAAGTCACCAGCATGGTCAACTTTTTAACCCACACCTTCGCTGGTTAGGCTAGGGTTCAACTCTAAGTAATATACATTTCAGTAGTTTGTGTGTGCCGGAAAAATTTCCATTGTACAGATTCGATCCTTGTAATCCACACAGCTTCACACGGTAACCAATCAACAGATAATAAATCCACGACATCGGAAAATACTAGATAGAGCTGGAATTAGGGCATAACAGCTTTTGTAAACAAAGGATTCTTTCGATGATTCCTCGAAAGTCATGGCTCTCGCGTAACCATCGAGTAGGGGAAGACTTCCCCTACCAGGGTGATATCTTGGTTTGTATAGGCGTGCCTTGAATTGCTAGAAATCATCAGGGGGAAGTCATAGTGTCCTAAGCTGTTACGACCTAACTGCAGCTCTATTATAGAACGAATAACAAAGGAACCAAATTTCACCCTTATCGGACTATTAATGGGCTTGGTGGTTAATTTAGAGGCCACGTGTTTTATGGGCAGCTCTGAATTTGAAGATTTCACTGACACTGAACCACTCCCACACGGATTAATCGCAACAAATCTCCTCCCGTCTTTCACATTGCAGCCAAAGTAGTCCGCTTCAACCGGATGGCGCCGCCGCCGGATGCCCTGGAGGGAAGCCGAGGTCACAGCAGCGGTTCCCTCGGGCTGACCCAACGTGGCCTCAGCACGGCTGAACTGCTCGAAAAGCAAGCCGACCTGATCAACTACCTGAAGGACCACAACCTCAAGCTGAACCAGAAGATCATGCAAATGAACGCCCAGGTGCGGACGGTAACGTACCCGGCATAGGGCGTTCGGCGGCCCTCTGTGTGTGTAAGGTAAGATCGATTTTACTCTTGAGCTTTTCCATGCAGACGAAATTTTGTTTTCTCCCTCGTTTTTTTGCCTTTCCGGGAGGGAAATGAAACCAAATTGGACTGATCGTTTGTTAAGGTTGTAGTTAGGCGTTTACGATTGTTTGGGAAAGTTCAATGTACGGATGAAAAATGTTGAGGTTGGAATGGGGGAACCTCAAGGGGAAGATTTTGGATTTTGGTTTGAAGAGCTCGGATAACATTTTACACAGTTTAGTATCTGGAGGGAGAGGAAATCGTTGTTTTGTTTTCGAACAATAAATAGTAGAATGCATTATGTAAATAGAGTAAGTTAAATATGTGTGTGTGTAATTATCTAAACAACATATCCGTACGCATGCATACACTGATTAATTAATTAAATTGATTTAGAAGAATTCAATCATCCGCTGAAACCCCAATTTCCGCAGCTTGCTTTTCCAGTCTCTCGGATTCCCTTTGAAGTAGCTTAATTTGTTCTGCCTGCTGTTTCAATATCTGATCCAAGGATAGGTCGTTCCGAAGCAGTACGTACTGCTGCGAAGAGATGCGCAGTGTTCCAACTAATCGAACTGTAAAATAAACCATGTTTGAATCAAGTGAAACCTCTAGTCGATTTCTGCTTACCCATGGCTACTACATAGAAACAGCTTAAGGCGATGCTTTCGATCCCGCAGAAGATCACGATCATCAACTGAGGAGAGTTCAAAGCCTTCACCAGGTCGTGATCAATCGGTTGACAATTGCCGGAACTTTCCATCCCGTTTTGCTCGAAGAGATCTTTAGCGTAGCCGTTGACCGCGATCAGCGCCGTGTTCCAGAAGGAAACGATCTGCAGAGGGGCCTTCCGGTAGGAAGTCATGTTCCGATACAGTAGGTAGTTGTTATCGATCAACTTTCTACAGGGATCTTTAATTTTCTCGTTGAGCATGTACGTTCCGAACCAGAAACCAGCCCGGAGGTATACCAACACGTAGAAGACCTGGCAAGGGCTATCGGCGCTCAAGGGTTTCAAGATCATAACAACCCCGACGGTGAAGAGCACCCAGGATGCGATCCAATGCAGACTGAAAAAAAACTGATCAGGTCCCGCCATCATTTGTACTGCCTTAGCAGTGATCACTAACCTGAACAAGGCGATCATCGTCCAAGGCCGAAAGGTGCACTGAACATGATCATGCGATAAAACCGACACGATCGATGGGTTGTTAGAAGAACCATGAGGTGTTCCGACATTTACCGAATTTCCAATGTCAGTAGCTTGATCTAATAGATTTTCCCAAGTAGTATCCATTCTTTGGATATGATCGATTTCAGCGAACTATCAAACTGTCAAAAGCAGATTGGCTGAACAAAAGCTGGTATAATTCTGTGATCACAATAGAATCGAAAACAAAGATCGATCAGATCAGTGTCACATCAGTTTCTGTGTGACAGACTGGCGACATGGATCTCCCGGCTTCCGATGCTCAGCAGCCCGAAGAAGTGGTAGAAAAGTGCGACAAAGCCACCTGGACCCACGAGCACTCCCCGCCACCGTCCCGCGATAAATCCTCACCGAAGCTCCGCCTGAAACCGATCTGCCAAGCGCCGAGAAACATCTCTCCGATCCCGGAGGGATCCAAATCGAACGATTCATCCCTTCCACGGCAATCCAGTGTCCTGTCCGATTCGGAAGCCGTCGGAAGTGGACATTTCCGAGCCGGGTTGATGGTCACGATTTTCAGGTTAGGATCTGTTTCCGAAGGAAACACAAACGAACGATCGTCTAACTAGCTTTTTTTCTAGCATTCACTGGTTCGCTTCGGCTGCGATCTTCTTCACCGGGCTAGTCCTTACCCTTGCTCCACCCAGCCAGGATCATGCCTGCCATCTGTACTTCATAATGGTTTACCTTCGAGCTGGCTACTGGATCGCGACCTACATTCAGCATGAGATGATCAAACCTGCCTGCCAAAGGCTAATTAACCAGAACTACAACCTCTACCGGGACATGACTTGCTACCGGAAGGCACCTCTACAGATTGTCTCCATTTGGAATATGGTCCTGCTGGCTGTGCAGAACTACGTGCAAACCTTGTTCATGGCCCATGAACACGGACCGAACATCTGCGGTGTGATCGATAACGACGAAGATCGCTTCGAACTGCGGACAATTTCCCCACAGTTGTTCATAGTGATCTTCTGCGGACTGGAAACGACCACTTTGGGTTGCTTCTACCTTCCGGCCATTAGTAAGTTCCTATTTCAAGATGTAACAAATTGAATCAACGAACGACTCCGATTGCCTTTCAGTGAGACTGATCAGATCGACGCTACCGCATCAGGAGGAGGAGGAAACCCCGAACCAAACGCTCTCGAATCTGGACGACATTCCCGTTAATCAGCGACTGAAACGGCAGGCGGAACAGGTTAAAATTCTGCGCGTTGCCTATCTGAAGCTGAAGCACGAAGCTGCCACCCTGGGTGCATTGGATTGAGTTATTCGGTCATTGTCGTTCAATCCTCTGTTGCGTTTACAAAATATTTTGTATTATGTATTATTGGGGTCGTACATTTGAGATTTGCGATCAGTGTCTTTTTTTTTAGTGTTATCAAATAAAAATATAATGTTTTGGTTAATGCATCACTGTGACAAAATGAAAATGTTCTAACCTCTAAACCTTGGATTTGTAATTTTCTATCCTTGCAAACTTAACCCTTGGAACTATTCTGAGAATTTCAAATCTCCTTAGAATTGAATTGAGCGGCGCCGGTGGTGTATTGGTAAGCGTGATTACCTCTCACCCCAGCAGGCCTGGGATCAATCCCAGTCGGCGCCGCCGGGATGTTCTGAGGCATAACATCTATGATCACACATTCCTTCGGAAGGGAAGTAAAGCCGTTGGTTCCCGGTTCATGAGTTAATGTGTGGATCGGTAGGGTCCAGATGTGGGGCTGCCTCCCTGGCGTCGGTAGCATTGGTGCTCAGCACGGAAAACAAGATCGACGGAGAACAAATCAATGGAAAAAGAATTGAATTGGTACTGTCGCCAAATTCAGATACCCTTGAAATTGTTGACAGAATTCCCTTGAATTTATGTCAGAATTCTCTTGAAATTCTCATAACTAGTTCGTTCGAATTATCCTCAAATTCTCTTTGAATTCTCCTCACAGTTCCACAGGAACTGTTCTCAAACATTTCTAGAAATTCTTCAGGGCTTCAAACGAAATTCTCCTAAGAAACTTTTCTGGTGTTTCTACTCATAACCTTGATCAAAATCTCCTTAGAATATGCACGGATTTCACCTGGAGTTTGCATCCCACTTCTTTCCAGTATTAATTTACCTTGATTTATATTCTGCAATTGCCTAGGATGGAACAATCTAATCGAATCTAAAGCTGGGTTTAGACTAGGAAAGTCAAATGATCAACTCAGTTGAATTCAATTGGCTTGAAAAGTTGAGCCTGGTTTAATTTTTTTTCAATTCAAGTGAGTTGATCAAGTCAGTTGAATGCGAGGGGGACGACTCTATCTACGATGCAGGAAAGATTGTGCTTTTGCTATGGCTAGCTGCGTGCACGCTGAGTAGATAGAAAGAAGATTGACGACGATTCTGAAGATTTCCTGCAAAAAGATGATGCACGATGCAAGTAGATGCGAGAAATGAAAGAATATTTTTCGAAGATTGATTAGCTAGTTGGAGAATTGTTAAGCATCTAGACTTGAGATTTAGATGTGTCGCCCCCCTCGGTTGAATGGCATGGTTTACACGTTCAATTCGCGTTCAAGTCAGTTGAATTCAACTGACTTGATCAATTGACGCATTCATGATGCATGATAGTGGTTTACCACCCATTGTAGCACGGAAACTAAGTCCGACAGCAGTGGGCTCTCTTCTCTGTTTGTCTTGATCAAGCTAAATAACCTCTGATTGTCCTCAACATGTCGCTGTATGAAGGGCCAAAAACGGTATGGGTAAATCGATAGGCAAAGTCGCCTATACGCATCTACGGAACAAAAGAATCTCCTTCCAGCAACTTGATCAACCAATTGGTCAAAAAGACAAGCCCCTAAACAGGAAGATGCCCCAATGAGTGGGGAGAAGAGCCCGCCCTTTATCCACGAAATGTTATCAACAGGGAGTTGGCATTCCCACTCTCCCCGTCCAAATCGCTTCAATCGGGTGCCCTTCCCTTTTATTTATGTATTTCAATGTATATACGAGTTGATTGTTATGATTATTGTCAATAATACTTACATTTCGATGAAGATCGTGATACATATCATTACAGAAACCAATCTTGAATCGTAGACCATGTCGTTCGACAATACACTCGTTCCGAGAACTGACTTGATCAATTGACGCAAGTCTAAACCCAGCTTAACCACATTGGCTTTATTGAGGTCCCTTGCCTGAAACCGGCAACTGGCAACTTTGCCAAAATCCAAGCAGATACAGTAGCGCTACGCTCCAGCGAAGGTTGTTATCTTTGTTATTAAATTCGTTCGAAGCATTTGCCTTATCGCGGCAGATCACGCGATTGTGCCTCTCTGCACTGAAACAAATCGACATGTACCGTTTATTGGATCCATCTTATAACATAGCAATGTCAGCAGATTTATTCATTCTATGTGATGATTGATAGATTCCATTGGATTATCACTTAAAAACTATGACTGCGATATGGAATGATTTCTATCGTAATTTCACATACTTAGTACTTGATAATACTTTGCTTCGAACGTGGTTAGCGAAGGTAAGAAGTATATGAATATTGTCTGATATATTTCATGGTGAAAAACTGTTGATATGTCATGGGTGGGAACAGACATCTAGAAACTAATGGAAAATCATATAAGTTTGCACTATGAGAAAATTCAGTAAAATATACCTGTTTTCATGATGAATATTGCTCACTAAAATATATATCTTATAAGATAATCATGTATATTTTATTGGAGTTGCTTTTACTGATTTTTGACGTTTGTTGATATGTCGCGTGTAAATAGACATGTAGAAACTATTGGACTGTCATTTAACTTTGCAGTATAGGAAAACATGTATATCTCATTGTAATAGCTTGCTTTGATTTTTGACGTTTAAAGATTGTAAACAGATCTATCCCAATCATTAAATAGTCATATAGAAATGCCTTTTAAGAAATCCAACAGCAAGCATTTGTTTTTGCATGTTTTTTCTGGGATGAATATCGCTCCCAATAAAATACATCTTACATGATTGTTCTTTATAAATTATTGAAACAATTTTCAACGATGTTAACGTACACTAATTAAAATGATTAGTTGAACTAAATACTACTAACAACAATGATACTGTATTGAATAATCTTTGTTTGTTATTGTTTCATATGATAATTGGTTCCAGAAAAAAATGTATTGAGATTGAAAAAAAAAATTATTCTACTGTAATATTTACTAAGTAGTATTTGAACTTCATGAGCCAGTTCTATCAAATCATATAATTTAGTCGTTGATTTATTGCACACAGGTGCATTAGGAAAGATTTGAACAAACCACACCACCGATACGGAACATAAATTTGTCAGTGCTATTTGTCTTCACTCTAGCAAAACGAGCATAAAGTTGCACTACATTCCATGTCGGGAGAGCTGTTCTTACTTCATGCTATTTGAACGAGCTCAATCTTGAAGTCAGCCGTGGCCCAGTGGAATCGAGCACAGACACCGAAAGCATCACACCTCAACAGATCTTGATCGAATCCCAAATCAGCTACAATAAAAAAAAGGCACAACTGTGAAAGCTCCCACTACCTGATGTTTATTTTTCGAATTTATTTTTAGAAATCGATTAAATATATGTGTCAAAAGAAGAAGTAAATTTCATGTTATTTTCACATAAACTTTACTTCGATTGATTAATGACACATATATTATATTGTGGTGAAAAGTATAGCTTATGCTTATGGGTTTCAAATCCATTTCAGTTAATTATTATAATTTGATCGATTTTCATTTATCATATGACGATCATATAAAAGTTACCAAATTATCAGCATTGTAAATGTATCAGATATTCATATAGAATTTACCTGACACATTTTCAATCATATCATTTTCAATGGATTATCTTATAGCGCAAATTTATTAGACTTCCACATAACAGGAATATGTCAAATTCGTTCAGTGTGATAGCGGTTGTATGAGGAAATGGAAGAGTTGCTAGTATTCTTGATGTATTGTCTTTGATTATTATTCATGTATGTACATGTATATTTCACGGAAAACACTGTTCGATCATAAACCTACTTTATAACTGTTTTCATTCCTGTAGGTTACTATGATCACAGAGAACAGACGTCCAACTTCCGTCAGAAACTTGTTTAAAGATAAGTGGGAACATCGCCGTTCAACGATCTGTTGAAAATTGCCACTTGGCGCTACTTGCACTTAGTATCTAGTGTAAGCTGTGGAGCGCTAGCGCCATCATGTTATCAAAGAGGGTTTTTAAGTGGGGAACTTAAGTCGTTGGTGACACTTAAGTCGAATATAAATCTTTAAACAATTTTGTACAGAAATGTTGTTCGAGTCTCAACGTCTCTTTTCTGTGCTTTGATAACACTCAATCAGTGGTGAATCGTAGATGTTGGAATGTTCCAATATATCGAAGACATAATATCAAGAAGACTGGCAACTTTGCCAGAATCCAAGTGACAGATACAGTAGTGCTGGCTGCACTTGGGTGAAGGTGGAAGCAGCACATAGAAATATGAGCAAATACACAAACCTTTCTTTTGATGTTGTAATCGTTGCTATCTAATTCGATCGAAGCATTTACCTTTGACCGACAGATGACGCAATTTTGCATGTCTTAGCTTTCGTATGACAAAATGGAAGAGTTGCCAGTCTTCTTTATACGTTGTATTCGTTGAAAGTCTGGAATATTCTTATGCGCTAATACGTCACGTTGCTTAGGTACGTTAACCACCTTTCTGAATTAAGATATGATTCACTATTTTGGCCATTTACCTACTGCCAACCGAAACATTATTGTTGTGGAAGAACCATTTGCAGAAAATGACTCCAATAATATTTGAAAAAGAGTATTTCGATGTTTCATGCCTCATTTGGTGATACTTTGTTACAGTTCCCCGGTAGCGGTAGAGCAGAACTACCATAGGGCGGACCAATCACAAACACTTAGGGCAATGTGCACCAACGAATCAAACAAAATCATGAGAATATAACTTGTCAACAAACGTGTATTCTCATTGCCCACATATTCTCCCCTCCTAGCTCCTCTTTCTCTCTCTCCTGCTCTTATTCCTCTTCCTAGTCCTGACTAATGCTTGCTAAATAACATAGCTCTTCCTTTTTCTTTTCTTCGGCGTCGCAAAGCTTCCGCCCACCACGTATATAGGAACGTACTCGTCGTTGTCCCACGAAAGTACGTTGCTAGCCGTCGTCGTACGCTTCCGTCTGAGACCGTCGTCCTGTCGGTCACTAGCCGTCACACGGGCCTCCGTAGTTGGTCGTCGTCGCACCTCCGTCTTTGACCGTCGAGCGGTCCAATCGCTTGCCGTCACACGGAGCTCCGTAGTCGGTCCTCGTCGTACTTCCGTCTTTGACCGTTGTGTGGTCCAATTCCGTCGACGTCAGCCGTCCTTCC